ATCACCTCGATCCTTTTGCATTCTGTAATGCTTTGATGTCTGTGAAGTATTCCTAGTTCCAGAGACCCTATGTGTACTGTCTCTTGGTTCCATGTGCATTTTGATGGTCTCACTCGGGATTTCAACTCCAAAACATTAGTTACAGTAAGTTCCTGAACTTCCTCTTTGGCATTAGCCAAGAGTCCAGTGGCTACACTCAAAGAAGTGACTGCAAACAGGAAGGGAAAATGGAAGTCAGGAGGAGAAAAATAGGCCTGTTCTGATCAGAGCTCACACCCTTCACGCTGTGTGTGACCCAGAATTCACCTTTCAGTAGAGACAGCAGCTGATCACACAGCTGAGAGCTTTCCAAGGATAGCAGATGGATGAGGGAAATGGTAACAGCCCCTTCCTTCTCCAGCACTCTCCACAGAACCAGCCTTGAAGGAGGATCTCCATATTTTCTAATTGAGATGTCTCGTGACCAGCAGAACATTGGCAGTTAATTAGACATCAGAGGACTTGCTAGGACCTCACTCTTCACACTGGCTTTGTGTGGGAGAAGCATTCGTGTTGGACTCAGCAGAGAGATCATTCTAACCCCCACTGCCTAAATGCAAAAGGGAGTCGCTTTTTTTTTCTTTTTGACTCTTCTTCTTCCTGTTCTGAAAAACCTACCAGTGTCAGAAAAAGGGCGTGAGACTTGGGAATAAGGCCAAAAGGGTGAGGAAAGATGACTCAAGCATTTCTCTATAATAGTTGACATCATAATTCCAAGCTCCACCCCCAACCTGCCGAGATTGTTTGCTGCCAAACTACATCCTACGCCTTTCCTGAGGATGAACCAAACTTTTCTGTATGTCCCCCCCACCTCAAGAGTTCTCCTGTGCTCACAGTGCCCACCCCCGCATACATTTCTGTCCTTTTGAGTTCCTCTTCATACTCCTCATGTCCACATTTGCCTTCAGACCAAATGGCTCAAAACAAACAGGACAACTTCTCAGTAACCCCAGGAGGCAAGATTTTAGTTGCTATTTGGGAGGTGTGAGGGTGAGACAAAAATCTTACTTCATAGCCCAGGCTGGCCCAGAACTTGTCCTCAAACTTACGGCAATCCTCCTGTCTCATCCCGAAAATGGGGAGGAGTCTATTATTCCTAGATTTAAAGACCTTCAACTAGCCCAGTATTGGTGGTGTGGGATAGTGGTGCATGTCTTTAATCCCAGCACTTGGGAGGCAGAGGCAGGAGGATCTTTGAGTTCTAGGCCAGCTTGGTCTACATAGGGAGTTACAAGACAGCTAGGGCTGTTTTTGAGACCCTGTCTCAAAACCAAAAACAAACCTGGCAGTTGTGGCACACACCCTTAATCCCAGTGCTCTGG